AATCTCATAGAAATGATTACGCGCGTGTATATTGAAGACTATCAGCATAAAAATAATTTACATTGATACGAATTTATTATATAATTATGGATGTTTATGACCATAGATATAATTCTTATCGTATCCTTTAATCTCGATTTAATTACCATGATACTGATATTACACGCAAAATTAGTTTAATAAACTTGATATTAATAGATACAACGTTACCAGCGTCTAATTATAATCTCGGACGCACGTTCACCGTACGGTAGGAAAAAAGGAACTTTTGAGCGAGTCGAGATAGTAACACTTTGCACGCAAGGTGTTAAACACCGTGTTAACCGTAATGTGCATATAGAATGTGAGACACTGATTAACTGTGTAACGTTATCTCATTGTTACATGTATCAGTATTAATATTTTGATCACGTTAATTTGTTTCAAACGGTATAAAGTTTTTAGAATTTACGTGAGTAAACATATACAATGAAATTATGAATTAATAATGCGATTCTGTGATCACTGAACTTCGTCGTTCAATATTATAATATATTTAGGATAGCTTACGGAAAATGTTATTAAATATCAGCTAATAATGTTTGTGTATGTAACGTGTGTGATATCAAGATTAGTTATAAATATTTCACACACTGTAATTGTTTAGGCGCCATTTAAAATACTATATGTGTGTTGTATTGTTTTGTGTGTTATGTGTTGTGTGTGTGTGTGTGTGTGTGTGTGTGTGTGTTTGTGTGTGCGTGTTATTGCAATAAATCTAATGCGGGCAATTTCGGAAATACTTCAATCATTTGTCAGTCGGATGCAATTATGCAGTTATCGCGCTCTAACTGCGGTCTTTTAATAATCACCAGTCAGTGTCAGTAAGAGAGATATACTTCGCACTCTCGGTATTTCGCGTGATTGACAGCAGCATATTTCCATACTTCGAAATATTATAGCGGCACTGAGAGCGGAAAATAATATAAATCTATAAAATTAAAAAGAAACAGTCCTATTGATCGATATCGCGTCAATACTACTTTCAAAGAAGTTTTGTATTCTTATTTTCTATGATAACACACACAAACGATCATTGCCATGTGTAGGAATAAAAGATAAATTTCAGTTAAGCCTTCCCAAGTGTCAGTGCAAACGACACCGGAGGGAGACGAATAAAGGTAAAACAGATTTCGCGTCTCACTTCGAAGAAGCGGATTACGTATTTCCGCGGACTGCGACATTTTCCCGGTATTTTAAATTTAACTTAGACGGTTTAAAGCTATTTTATTATTCATTAAGGTGACGATTTCAGCTATGAGTTAAATCCTAATTATGGGTCAAACTTGCAAAATTAAATGTTTTAGAGATATACATATATTAACAAAGTTATGGAAAACTTTTTTGCGTTTTTGAATTTTTTATAAAATTAATTATTGTATAAAATTACTTTCTTAATCATTGCTAATATTTAATAAAAAAAAGCGGATTATTTTTATATAATTCCTTGAAATTATGATACTCTTACAGTAAAAATTGCATATTTAATATATCATTATATATGCTCAAACAATATAAATTTCGACGTTATTGATATAAATAATTTTACATTAAAGAAGTTTTACACAAAATAATCTGTCGACTCACAATTGTGATTTACATATACCTAAACATTTTAAAATATTTTTCAAAAATTTGGAGTTTATTCAATACCGATAAAATAATTTCTCTTTAAAAATGTAATATTTATATTAGTATTAATTTTCGAATGTTTGATTGTTACATAGATTAATGAAAATAACTTTAACCTTAAATAACCCCACAATGGAGACAATCACTTTACACATTTTTATTACCTATATGTATTTCCTATATACATTATATCTAAAAATTATTCCATTATGTATATTATATACTTGAACTTTAAAAGAAAACATTTCAGCATCAATGAAAGTTACGTATGTAGTTCGATATCTCATACAGACGGCACGCGCATTTTAACATTTAAAATGTAACATAGACTCTTTAGAGAGAGGGAGTAACAATTACAATTCATCTCATTCGTCCTTTTAAATGGGCTTCGTGTCTTTTATATATATATACATATATATATATAATATACGCGCAAATATGAATGTGTGATTGTTAAAATTCCATAAATAACATTTCTTTTTCTATCGCAGATATTTTTTATGTACGGAATAATTATATTAAATAATGTAAAAATTGTAGAAATTTTGAATAACATAAATCAATCAAAAGGAAACAAACATCAGAAATTCGTTGGAAACTGGCAACAAAAATTAATATAACGTCAACTGATTATGCACATGTTTCTAGCGTACAAATATATATTATAAACTTGTATATATAAACTTTTCTCGCTTGTTATTTAGTAATATATCTAACTTTTTTATAACTGTACCATATTCTGAACAGAGAAATAGAGAAAAATTTTTCAAAGTACATTTTAAAAGGAGCAAAGTTTCTCTTGAATTCTTATTGTCCCGTAACTATAAAGAAAGAGATCCATAAAGTTTCATTTTACACTACACAAATATTAAAGACAGATCTCTTTTTACTTTATGTAAAATTTTCAAAGTTTACATAAAATTAACCTCATATATAATTTTAAAATATAAGAAAAACTTTAATTTTATGAATATTAGAATTAAAAAATGTTACACATATGTGAGTCGTATTTCAACATTATTTCAAAATTATCAATCCATTATTACAATTTAGAGAAATCAATCCTGCAGCCGAAACATGATTACGTATGCAATATGCGATTTCATCTCATTAATAATTTATCCATAAGAATATATACAACAAATTTTGTACATTTATGTGGTCGTAATAAATAATATTCCTTATTTTTTAAAAAAACTTTTATAATCTGATTCTCATTCGCCCTTTAAACTCTTAGTTATTATTTTATACTGAAAGTCCTGTACTTTTGTTAATTTAATTCAGAAAAATGCTATATAATTTATGTCAGTAAAGTTTAACACATTTTTCCTATACGTTGCATCAAAGACTTTCTTTCGGAATCGTCATTATCATGAAGATCCTTTCTATCGCGAATTTTTCCTTCACTTCAGCAGCCTGCTTCTTTTTCGTGTACATGATTCGAAATCGATTGGCACAAAAACGCACTCTGTCCCCGAAGCGTTGGCTTGAAAGATTCTCAATCATTTGGTTTTGCGAGCGAATCGATCGCCAATGGTCATTACGAAAGCGTAGGACTATTCATTTACACACCGACATCTTGGAAATACGCCGATCCGATAGACTAAAGTTTCGTCTTCAGCATAAATTGGAGATTACATAACGATTCTCAATCAATAGCTGATAACCTCGTGAGATTAAAAAAAAAACCACGTTTAATTCTGATAACACAATCAACGACTCAGAATATAACAAAACTCACGCTGTGATACACGCGTTGACGTCCACTATGCGAGTTATTACGCTAGTACTGAATATTGTCACAACAGCTAGTTTTCCTATAATGTAAAGTTTCTACGTTTGTATAAAGTCCGGGGGCGCGTTATTGTTACGCCTTTGTATACCGCGGTAAGGCACTCTTTCGCGACAGGTCAAAGAAACTTCAACGTAGAGAAGCTCACAGTGCTTATGACGTCTCTGACGACCTTGAGTACGACTTTTCCTCCGCTCATGAATCGTGCTTCTCTGTATGAGGCACCATTACCAGAATAAACATTAGTCAGCGCGCTCGATTCACGCGCAAAGATGATCAAAATCCAATCGGTTGAAGGTTCGTCCCGAACAAACTTTATCTTTCTGAAGAGTACATAAATCTTCCGATAATCTAATGTTTATAATTTGAATAAGAACCATTTGTATCGCTACCATTTGACATCATATGTAGTTTAGATCACAGATAAAAGAAATAAAATATTTTTTGCAAAATTAAGTAGAGTAAAAGAATTTGCGTTTATAATCGTGTGTAAATTCTATAAATAATAAGAAAAAAAACGGTGTTTTGAGAAAAGTGTTAGTGCGACAATCGATATATCTCGATATCTGTCCCTTGGCCTACATGGGAAGGGTAAGCAGGTCATGTGTCTTGAACTATGATTGATGCCATTCAGAATGCGCTCGGGACTATCAGTTTTATTCAAATATTAATTTTTTCTCGAAAAGTTGCGCTTGTAAAGTGCCAAGTTTGTGCAAAGCCGACTAATACTTATAATATATCTCTCATACATCCTTACAGAATGTTGTTAAAAATGTGCAATCTGTAATTTAAGATTTATCGTATCATTCGTAAATTTTAAATTCGGTACGTCAAGTTATCACTTTAACCGTAAAATAGAACATACGAAAGAGAAATTCGCTATCGGAGCTAAATCAAACGCAGTTTGATCATCCATTTGTCATACAAGTTCCGTGATTTGGTCAAGGTCGCGTCTCTTGACCACACTGTGTTCAAGGTTCATCGGTTGATCTCATCTTGAAATGTAAAATGAAAAAACTGCAAGGAAAGGAAGTAAACGTGGCAATGTCCGTCCACGAGACAAAACACCGCCCACGAGCAGTCGTGCGAGTAGGTGAAGTCACGCGACGCTATGCTCCTCCATGAAATATAAAGTCACGGTAGAGAAAGAGCGTAAGAAGTAAAGGGGTGAGTTGTGCAAGTATATATATACATAAACGGGTAGAAAAGGATGAAGAAAGAAAGAGAGAGAGAGGAAAAGAAAAAAAACTAAGAGAAAGTATAGAGATAGGCGTATATAGTAGAGGGAGATAGACGGATAGATAGCTGGAGAGGGAAAGCGCGTGTAGACAAAGAGGCGGCGGGGTACAGCAGTAACATGTATCTATACGAAAGAGTTAATGGATAGAAAGAGATGACGCGATATAGAGGATGGAGTGAAAAAGGAATCATAGAACAAGACAGACTGATCGATCGGTATAAAAGTAGACAAAGACAGGGTCAGACGTTTTCCTAGATCGCGAATGTATAACAGTTCGCGTATACATTCCGTACATACCGAGGGCATCAGCTGATCGGTAGACCTGACCCGGGTCACCTTGTTCCTGTAGAGTACCCTTTTGACCATTTTCTCCATTGGCTGGTTCCACTTCATGAAGCTCACATATCCCAAATAGAATCCAAATAGCACAAGTGCCTCATACCAGTATATATAACTATCGCGGAAGAAGTAGATCAGGGTGAGTAGACTGGCGCTATAGAAAGTGCAGTCGCGAAATAGAGGCCACCATGTGAGCGATAGCACGGTACGCGAGAATATAGCGCACATGCCGATCACGAAAAGGATGTTGAAGACGGCGGAGCCGACGATAGTGCCGATACCGACATCGTCGAACGACACGAACACGCCTATGATCGATGTGAAGAGTTCGGGCGCCGATCCACCGGCCGCCATGAAAGTAGCACCGGCCACATCGTCGGCGATATCGAGCTTCTCGATAATCACGTCTAACGACGGTACGAAGAACTCGTCGCAGACGATTGCTAACGCGACGAACATGTACACCACGCCAAGTATATGAAGTATCACGGCGCCGCGGCGTCGTTGATCATTCGTGAACAGATCTTCGGGGAAGAGCGGCCTCTTGACGTCTGTATTGTTATCGTTAGTCCTATTATGCCCGTCAAGACCCGCACCGTTGTTTTTGCTATCGTACACTTGCACGCTGGTACCGTTACTCAGCCGTATTAGGACGGGCATGGCTGTGCTACTCGTGGTGGTATGAAATGTGATCGGATTGTTTGGCGCCGGTCTGTGCCCCGAAGACGACGAGGGTCCCATCGCGAAGGCTAAAACCGCGGAGAGCAGAGTGATCAACGCCAATCGGCGCCTCCGCCTCCAACATGTACGCCGATCACCGCCCGTCACGATCATCGTCGTCGTCGGCGGTGGTGCTGCTGTTGGTGGTTCGCACCTTCGAGGACGTTCGCCGTCGTTAGCGAGGCCTCCGTCCTCCTCCTCCTCCTTCGCCACCTTCTTCTTCTTCTTCTTCTCCGTCCTCCTCGGCGTCCTCCACCCTCTCCTTGGCCCCCTCCGCCGCCAGCACCACCTCCGACTTCTCCACCACCTTCTTCTACGTGTCGTATCGTGTCGCGCCGCGGAGGGTGTACGACAGGAGAGCCGTACTAAGGCTGGGTCATGCTGGAGCGGCGATGAGGAGCGGCCTCCTTGCCGATGCCTCCCTCTGGATGGACCTACCTGCGTGTGACCGCGGTAGTCGATCCTCCACCAGCTCGTTTTCCTTCTCTCCGTTTCTCACACTGCGTCCTCCTCTTTCTCGTTGCTAT